GTTTAAAAAACTGATTTTCATAGAAGAAATTGCTCTTTTTGAATAACAAATATATTCAACAGGAGCATTTGCTTCATGAAAAATAACTGGAAATTCATGTATATACTTCTATAAAGGACAAAAACCAGAAATTAGTAAAATTGAAATATATTTTGATTGCCAACATATCACTTTTCTCTTCATAAAGTAGTCTACTGTTCTTAAGAACATGTAACTAAGATTTATATACTCCAGAAGAAAAATATCTGACAGCAAGAATAGCATCATTTTATCTTTACATTTTGATCACAAACCTATTCTCCTTAAGCAGGTTTGCATTAATTTAAGAACAGTCATCTTTCAAAGTTATAGATATAGGGCACATGAGATGCTGGCAAAACAAATATATTAAGGTTTGAAATAGCAATTGAAGAAAAAAGTTTTTAATCTATTTACTTAAAATAATATTTTTGGTCCTGGTTAATGGGAGGTGAGAGGTTTTTGGTATGGATGGTTTATATTTATGTAGGGTAGACACTGGCTTGTTTTAAATGGCTATTAACTCAGTGGTAAGGGAAGATTTAAACTTGGAATAGACAGTGGTGAGGGCCAAAATAAACTAAATGCAGAAAAATAAGGTTTAGAGAAAAGTTTAGCATAGGAACAAAGTATAGACATTCTAAGAGTAGGCTTAATTTTATTGTAATACTAGAAATATAAAGTATAAGAAATAAAATAGTTGACTTTAGAGCATCAGTAGGAACGGAGGCTTTTGATATAATGGAAATAACATAAATATAGTTAAATGTAGATGATTTTGATCACAGAAATTTCTTTGAAATACAAGGTTATAGGTTATTTAGAGTACTAAAACGAGGGGGAGGAGTAGATGTATATGTAAAATGTGAGTTACACTCTATTGAAGTTGGGAATATCCAAATCTTTTTTCTATTATCTATTTGGATTTCTGTTAGTGGATATAAAAGTAAAAGGCTTTTGGTGGGGATTTATTACAGACCAGACGATAAAACTAATGAAATTAATGAGAAGCTACAGTGAAATAAAGAATTTAACTGTTAATAAGGTTATAAATGTGGAATATTTTAATTTTGGAAATATTAGAGTCAAATCATGAGGAAGACGGGTTTTTAGAAACTGTTCAAGATGGTTTTCTTCAACAAATTCTTAAGCAACCCACCAAGAACAATGCTATTTTAGGTATATTGCTAACTTCTGATAAAGAAGTGGTTGATAAGTTGAGATTGGGGAACATTTGGGTGCAAGTGATCATTGCACAATTAGATTTGATATTTTGCTACACAAGGAATAACGAGATTTTGATTCCAAATTTAAAAAAAAAATTGGAGAGATGAGACAAGAATTATTTTCTTTGAATTGGGTTAGTGAATTAATTGGAGACATTGATCAACTGTGGTAAATTTAATTTGTATAAAATATATAGATAATATAAGATTTTAGGGGCAAAAACTATCTTAACTGTATCGCTCACATCAGCTTACAGGGTCAAAAAACTATTAACTTTATAGGTCTCGTTGACTTACAGGAGAAAAACCCAACTTCACAGGGTCAATCAACTGACAGGAGCAAAAACCATCTTAACTACTTAGATCATATCAGCTTACAGGAGCAAAAACTGTCTTAAATATATAGGTCACATCAGCTTACAGGTTAAAATAACTGTGGAATTTACCTAAGCTTACAGGAGCAAAAACTAAACTGTTTAGGTCAAATGAGCTTACAGTGGCAAAAACTATCTTAAGTATATAGATTATATCAGTTTCCAATACAATACCTTCCTTCCTCTCACATAATAGCTCTCCTCAATTTGTGCTGTCTTCCATATGCAGCTTTTGTGTGATAGGTGATACCTTTCATGTAGCTTGAGCCTTCTTTTGACCCTGACATACCTCCACCTTTGTTTCAAATTCATTACAGAAGGGTGGTCCAGCATCACCAGGTGGTTAGGGCTCTCGACTCGTAATCTGAGGGTCGCAGGTTCGAATCCCCATCCCGCCAAACATGCTCACCCTTTCAACTGTGGAGGCATTATGATGTGACGATCAATCCCACTGTTTGTTGGTAAAAGAGTAGCCCAAGAGTTGGGTGGTGATGACTAGCTGCCTTCCCTCTAGTCTTACACTGCTAACTTAGTGATGGCTAGCACAGATAGCCCTCATGTAGCTTTGCACAAAATTCAAAAAGAAACAAACAATACAGAAGGGATTTTGCCAGTTTTTCCCACCTACCTTTGATTCATCTTATGCCCATATTGTTGTAATTCTACCTCAGCTTTTTTTGTGATTTCATGACTAGGTTTCTTTAGTGTTCTTTCCATATTCAATTATTTTTATCACTACTTTGGGGCATACATTCCTCACTCCTTTTTCCTTTGTTATCTTGTATGACTAGGCATGAACTTTGTGCTTTCTTTTCTTCAGATTTGAGAGTTGGATCCTCTGTCGTTTTTTCGTCTTTCTTAGGCTTAGGTTTTCCTACATTTGTCTTACACACACAACCCATTTCTGTTATTTTTCCTTCTTTCACCTTTTTTCTGTGGTATTCCATCATTCTCCTGTGTGGTTTTCAACAGATGCTCATTCACTTATCTTTCTTTACAGTAGGTGTCTGTGAGTTGTTGGTGATAAATTTCAACTATAAATTGCAATACAGTCTGCTGGTCTTAAAATAATATATTAAAAACAAATCAAACACATATGCAAATGTTCATTATATTGTTGGTTTCCACAGTTGTTTCCAAAGCTTTAAAAAATTGTT